ACCTCCTCCTCCTCCTCCTCCTCCTCCTCCTTCTCCTTCTCCTCCTCTTTCTCCTCTTCCTCTTCCTCCTCCTCCTCCTCCTCCAGCCCAACCCAACCTCCTCTAGCACAACCTAACCTCCTTTACACCAACCCAACATTCCTTAGACCTTCTTTAGACCATTCAAACCTCCTCCAGACCAACCCAACCATCTTTAGACCTCCTCCAGACCAACTCAACCTCCTCCAGACCCACCAACTGACCTCCCCAGCACAGCCCCACCTTGGCCTCTTCGTCCAGCTGCCTCTTGAGGTCCTCCAGCTGCTGGATGTAGGTGAGGCCTTGTTGAAGGCCTCCTTCTCCTCCAGCTGCTTGGAGAGCTCACCTGCAGGGTAGGACAGGGGACAATGAGGTGCCAGAGAGACCCCCAAAGCCACCCCATGGGGCCAGCGATGGGAGCTCCAGCTGCACCGAGGTGGCGCCGCCTGCCACCTCCAGCCACTCGCTGATCTCTTCCAGCTCCCGCGACAGCTCCGAGCGCAGCTTCTCCACCTTGGCCCTGCCCGTCCGCTCTGCCTCCAGCTCCTCCTCCAGCTCCTCAATCCGTGCCTGCGCCCAGGTACAAGGACGGGGACGGGGACACCCTCAGCAACCTTGACTCAGCCCAACTGCGCCACTCAACCCAGCACAGCAAGCTGGAGACTCTTCAGCCCAACCAACTGGAGACTCTTCAGCTCCTCATTGGAGACTCCTCCACCCAACCCAACCATCTGGTGGCTCTTCAACACAACTCAAGTTAACCCAACTCATTGGATACTCTTCAACTCAACTTAGTCAGCTGGAGACTCTTCAATTCAGCTCAACCCAACTCAACGCATTGGAGACTCTTCAACCCAACCCAACCAGCTGGAGACTCTTCAGCTCCACTCAACCAACCTAAGACTCTTCAACCCAACTCATTGGAGACTCTTCAACCCAACCAGCCTTGAGCCCACGCTGGTCTCCTCAACCCAGTCAAGACGTGAGCTCTCCAGACCAACCCTACCTTTTCTGAGGCTGCTCTGCTCCACCAAATCACCTTGAGGCTCCTCAACCCACCCAGCCCTGAGGACCTCCATCTCCTTGAGCCAGCTCAGTGCAACCTTCTCTACGGATGCTGGTGTCACCTCCCTCCGACCCGGGTGGTCTGCTCAGCTCGGAGCCCCCCCCACCAGCCTGGAGTGCTCCAGACCCCTATGGTTCCCCTCACCCCACCCCGAAGACAACCTGCCCGGTGACCCATGGGTCATTTCCAGGAGAGAAAGCACAGGGATGTTCTAGCTCAAGGGATCTGGCTGACAGATAGAGCTCAGAGGGTTGTGGTTAGTGGCGCAGAGTCTAGTTGGAGGTCAGTAACAAGTGGTGTCCCTCAGGGGTCAGTACTGGGCCCAGTTTTGTTCAACATATTCATCAATGATCTGGATGAACGGATAGAGTGTACCATCAGCAAGTTTGCTGATGACACAAAACTGGGAGGAGTGGCTGACACGCCAGACGGCTGTGCTGCCTTACAGCGTGACCTCGCCAGGCTGGAGAGTTGGGCAGAAAGAAACCTTATGAAGTTCAACAAGGG